TGTTAGTTAGTTTCATAGTTCTTAAAATAGGAGAACGATATCTACATACATTAATTATTTTCTTTTTTCTTTTAATGAAAATTTATTGTTAAATTACTAAAAGTTTATTTTTATTAGACTGTTTATGTACAAAGACATATGCAGGGTTAAAACAGAAGAAAAATAACTCAAAGTCTCGGTTTCTTCTTCCGCTTTTAACTTATAAACCAGTTCTCTTTAGGAATAATGGACGTCTTTTTATATTTCATATACATTTCATTTTTTATTGCATGTTTAAATTATCTGTACGATTTTATGAATTTTGGCATCAAACACCTTATACTGAACATAACCGTTTTGAGACAAAACATATTTAAAATTCTTGGAGAAAAAAAACTGCTTGTCAAAAAAAATTGTGTACCCTAAATGTCAAATTTAATATTACAACAACCACTGAGACATAAAGAGAAGATATGTGGCTATCTATTTCAAAAATTAAATTGTTGAATGTCATATAATATTGGCTGGAGCTGTCATGGAATAGAGAGATTTAAAAATTATCATAAATCATCTTTTTTAAATGGATACCCATATTTTTTATTTCACTAGTAAAGAGATTCTTCAATTCGTTACTTCTTTATTATACATGTTCCTATACCTAAAATAAATAGTCTTTAAGTTATTTAAGCCAAATGTCTTCTCTTTGTATCACAGTGATTGTGGTAATCACTAAATTTGACGTTTAAGCTATACAAGTTTTTTTGAGAGGCAGTTTTTTCCTTCAAAAATTTTATTTTTTTTCTCAATAATAGTTAATGTTAGGTATAGAGTGTTTGATATAAAAATTCATAAAATTTTAGAGAGAATTTAAATATGTAATAGAAAATGGTGGTACCCATTTAAAAAAAGAAAGTTACTGTCAACTTCCGGTATGTCCGGAAGAACCGCCATATTGAAAATATATTTAATCACTAGATTTCATTGTGAAACAATGATGTGTAAAATATCACCGATCTAAATATTGTTGTTCTCTAGAAACTTCTAATGAACGATCAGTCTGGGACACCCTGTATACCTAGTCTGTTACCGAACCTGCTTACAAATCTGATCTAATAATAATTTGAATTTAAAGATATGCTATAGAGGTTTTTCGATATAGTTCACTACAATGTTAACAAATTGTTAGTTTGTTCTGTTGACAATTATATTAATGTTATGAACATCAGTTCGAAACAAGAGGGGTTAAACAGTACGATAATTCGCTGGTTTTGGGAAATGATCTCGACACGAACAGCAGAGGCTGAGATAGGTACCAAAACTGTAGTTGTTAAAACAACGCAAGGAACTCCACAAGGTGGAGTGACCTCCCCCCTACTGTGGAGCTTGGTAGTGGATGAACTACTGGAAGAATTAACTCTAGCGGGAATACACTGCATAGGGTATGCAGATGACATAGTCATCATTGCACGGAGGAAACATGAAGGCACCCTGTGTGATATTATCCAAAGAGGACTCCGCATCGCTGATGAATGAATGATGGTGCAGGACTGTCGGGCTGAGTATTAACTCAGATAAAACCGCAGTAGTCCCATTCACCAGAAAGCGAAGTTTGAAAAACTTGAAAAGAATCCATCTAGATGGAAAGGAAATACTGCCATCACAGGAAGTGAAATATCTGGGAATAACCCTGTATAGTAAACTTCTCTGGAACAGGCATATTAAGAACATTACCAGCAAAGCCACAAAGGCTCTCATGATATGCAGAAGACTGGCGGGAAATAGGTGGAGCTGCGTCCCTAACATTTTGCGCTGGATGTATACCATGACAGTAAGACCCATGATTACTTATGGAGCAGTTGCTTGGTATACAAAACTAGAGCAACGTACAGCAAGGCAAAACCTGTGCAAAGTACAGAAACTGGCATGTATCTGCATCACAGGTGCCATGAGAACATGTCCAACAGCAGCAATGGAGGTCATTCTAGACCTAACACCACTGCACATTGTCGTCGGTAGTTATGCCAATGCGACAATGATTAGAATGGTTACTGACGGAAACAGTACTGGGAGAATATTCAGGTCAGGGGCTTGGAACACCCTCAAAAAGAAAATTCCACTTCTCCAACTCCCAGTGGATGACATACCAATAATTTACAACTTTGAGAAACACCTCACTGTAGTATTGAGTAATAAAAAGGATTGGAAGAAAGAAACGCTTACTCAGCATATAAAAGACCATACCATTACGTGGTATACTGATGCCTCCAAAACCAAAGCAGGGACAGGGATAGGAGTATTTGGGCCGAAAACTGAATACTCCGAACCAATGGGCACCTACCCCAGTATCCTTCAGGCTGAAATTTGCGCTATCGAAAGATGCGTACAATTTATCTTAGATAGGAACTATCGAAAACAGGAAATTGCCATCCTATCCGATAGTCAAGCAGCACTTAACGCGATCAACTCAGTAACCATCAATTCGAAGTTGGTCAAAGAATGCCTAGAGAAGCTCAACAAATTAGGCAAAGAAAATAAAGTCCTCCTACTCTGGGTGCCTGCTTACCAAGGGATAGAAGGCAATGAAAAAGCAAATGATCTAGCTAGAAAAGGGGCGAACACTCCACTAACTGGACCAGAACCGTTCTGTTTTCCAAACGGGAACCAACTGAAAGCGGAACTGAATAATCTGGAAGACTCCATCCGTAACTTAGAATGAGTGTCCTCCAACGGTCTAAGACACTCGAAAAAGTTCCTCAGAACTTATGACCGAGAAAAATCAAAGGTTTTCCTTGATTCAAGTAAAAACAATCTTCGGATTGTCACGGGGTTTCTAACAGGACACTGTCTCCTCAACGAACACCTCAGTAGGCTGAAACTGAGAAACAACGGCGAATGCAGATTTTGTGGGGAAAATGGAGAAACACCAGAACACCTTATCACTGAGTGCGCCGAGACGACGACCATTCGTGCCATGAACCTTGGTACGTCTGATGTCGAGGATGGAGAGCTGGCCTCTGTGGAGCCGTCTCAGATACTGGCTTTTGTTAAAGCCCTGAGACTGTATGGTTATAACTCGTTATAACTCAAGAAAGGGGAACACACAATAGATCTATAAGGTCGCGGTGATTAACTCCCCTCCTAAACATTCTACATTCTACATCAGTTCGAAATTTTATTTTATTGTAAACGTATGAATGTACACTGCTATAGTTAGACCAATCATCACCTATAGAGCACTAGTATGGTGGGAAGCGGTACTTAAAGAGACTAATAGAAAAAGCCTCACAAAGGTACAGCGATTAGCAGTTCTAGATACAACTATAGCAAGGAACAATACAGCGCTAGCTGCTCTAGAAGCAATTCTGGGTTTGTAATCAATCGACAGGCTCGTGAAGGATCTGGCCGCTAAGAATGCCCTAAGATTAAGGGAATCCAATCTGTGGAACCAGACCAACTACGGTCACTCGTGGATATTGCCAGTGATAGGGAAAATCATGGTGAACACGAGTCCACATCTGCTAGACCAGAAAACGGACTATATGCTCACAAAACATGATTTTGGAAAAAAGATAAGGATTCGCATCCCGACAAGAGAAGAATGGGAAAGCAACCGAGTAATGAACACTCAAGAGATAGCAGTCTACACAGATGCTTCCGAAACTTCAGGAGGCACAGGTATAGGCATCTTCTCGGAGGAAGTAGACATCCGACGATCTTTAAGGCTAGCGGATGATTGTAATGTGTTCTACAAGCAGAGGTTTACGCCATAAAGGAAGCGGCTAGTTGTATACGAGAGAAAATTGCTGATAGACCAATAGGGGATATAGTGATATACTCTGACAGCTTGGCCGCTTTAAGAAGCATCACCATGCAATCAATGAGATTGAAAACTGTGATGGAATGCCGAGAAGCACTGTCTTGGCTGCATCAGGGCGGGACTATTCTATGCTGGGTGCCAGGCCACAGCAATGTGGTGAGTAATCAGGAAGCATACAGACTCGCCAAAGACGGGGCCAGGGGAGAGGCCGTGGCAGATGACCCTCCGTGACGATCAACACACTGAAGGAAGCTATAGGAACTGCCATCAAGGCCTAGCAGCAAGAGACGTAGCAACACCGTGAGGACTGCGCTACAGTTCGAAGACTATGGCCAGTGTAGATAGCAAAAAGACAAAACAACTACTATAGCACAAAAAGAACTTAAGTACGCATAATAATAGGTGTCGTCACTGGAAACTGTCCCACTGGGGTAAACCTCGTGAGATGGAAAATTTCCACCGACGACTACTGCAGAGAATGCGGAATGCGGAGAGGAAGAAGAAACAATAGAGCACCTGCTGTACCACAGTCCGGCACTGGAATACCGACGCTTTAAAACTTTAGGGCAAGTTTTTTTGGAGGGACAGAAGCCAACATCAGCGACATCGGGAACTTTGCAATAAGCTGGAAGTGCTTTAACGCAAAGAAAGAATGAGAGGAAGGTTTGGTACAACAATAACAGGGGTATCGCAATGGGCTCAAGGCCTCTCCGAGTGAGGGATCAAACATGATCCCAAACCCCAGCAACCTAACCTAACCTAAACGTATGAAACTGTTTTAGTAGTAAGAATAGAGTAATATAGACAGAGAGCCCATGGAGATTAACTTTAACAGATTAACTGATGCAAAAAATTGTTTTTGTTGTTTATTAAAAGCTTGACGGTGTTAATAAATTAGTTTTAGGTTAATAAAATTCAAGCTCTCTGCAAATATTTTTTGATATGCTCAGTGAAACGTTGGTTTCACTGAATATAGCGTAATTAAACTTGAGTTTCCAGCTGTTATAACACCAAAGCTTCCAACTTCAACCGTGTAGTACATAATTGTGACCTGTTTTAAACATTTTATACGAAAATATTAAATTACGGCTATAAAACTTACGGATATAATATTCTTTTTATAAATCTATCATCAGATATAATATACAATATTATATACAATAAGAAAATTTTAAAAAATGTTGACGATATTTCATTTTTACAGACGATGCTAAATCGCAGAGCATTTTCTGACGTTTTGGCAGAAACACCGAGACATTCACGGTTGAAAGAAGACTCGCGCCAAATCGAATTTGTACGCATCGGACAGGCCTTAAAATTGGAAGCTATAGTACGAGGAGACGCACCCACAAGGTAAACAAACATATCATAACAAATATCAATAGCAGTGGCAAAAAAAACTTTTGAATAAATTTAAATATATTTTCGCCGATCCCCAAAAATATTCGTCAAAACTTGATATAAATAAAATGTCAAACAAAATAAAATTTTAAAGTTTATCTCGAGATCATAAACAATTCTAAATGGGATTGACACACTTCAATTAGTATGATTTTTGTCCGTAAACAAGTATAGAAATACGAATACGAAAGTTTTTTTATGCCACTCGTTCACTAAATGTTTTTAAGGATCTAATTTAGATATAAATGTGAAAGTTTCATCTAAATTTATTTTCGGGTGTACTTTTTTTAAATATTTTTTACTTTCTGGCGTTCTTATGTATGATTTCATAAACGACTAAAATTAGATATATGAAATTATACAGGGTGGCCCATCGAAAACGTTCTGCCTTAACGACCAGGGTAATTTTTTTTTCAGAAAATTCAAAATCACGTCAATTTTGTTTGTGAGGGGGACAATTTTTGCCCCAAAAATGATTTCAAAATCTTCAACCCTCTAAGCAGGGGTGTCATCCCCCAATTTTTTTTTAAATGAGAAGGTGGGTCAAGTGGTACCGCATTGAAAAGGGCTTTCTATTCTCTATACTTTCCCGCTTTGTTTTTGAAAATCGGTCGAGCCATTGAGAAAATATGAAGGATTGAAATTTGAAAAGTTTATTTAAACATTTATCAGAGTAAATGATAAGGATAAATTCTTCGACCAATTTGCTGTTTTTTCTTATTATTTCTAGATTTTTACGCATTTTTTTACTTGCCACAAGGATGAAGGGTTAGGTAGAGTGTACTTTCTTTTTGAAAGGTGTAGTTAATTGGCACAACTGTCGGTACTGGGCTGAGGACAACCTCAGGGTTTTTCACGAGGTGCACACACAATATCCTAAGAAATTGAACGTGTGGGCTGGTATTTTTAGAAACTCTATTGTGAGTCCTTTTTTTCTTCCTGGAAATCTAACAGGTGATATGTACCTGGATTTACTGGAAAATACCATCGACCCAGTCTTAACTGTCATCAAAGAGAACAATCCTGGATACGTTGAAGCGGAATTAATATTTCAACAAGACGGTGCACCTCCACATTACTCTCAAAATGTGCGTAATTATTTAAACAATAACTTTCCCGTTCGATGGATAGGACGAAGGGGTGCAATTGAGTGGCCTCCCCGGTCACCCGACTTGACTCCTTTAATCTTTTTTCTATGGGGACACATAAAAAGTAAAGTGTATAGCACCTCACCCGCCTCATTAGAAGACCTGCAAAGACGAATTATTGATGTTTGTTGCGAAGTGACCCCGCAAGTTCTTCAGAATGTTCTAGAACGGGTTGAAAATAATTTGTATTACTGTATGGAGGTTGACGGGCAACATTTTCAGCATTTTCTTCATTAATAAGATATATTTTTTTAATTAATTCAATTTATGCGTTTTTTGCAAAAAAAAATTTTCAAATTTCAGTCTTTCATATTTTCAAAATAACTCGACCGATTTTTAAAAACGAAGCGGGGAAATATAGAGAATAGAAGGCCCTTTTCATTGCGATGCCACTTGACCCCATTTCCCGTTTGAAAAAAGTTGGGGGAGGACACCCCCGCTTAGAGGGTTGAAGATTTTGCAATCATTTTTGGGGCAAAAGTTGTCCCCCTCACAAACAAAATTGACGTGTTTTTGGATTTTTCGAAAAAAAAATACCCTGGCTGTTATGCCTTGCGGAACGTTTTTGATGGGCCACCCTGTTTTTAAATTCTACATGAAATTCATCACATTTTATGTAGAATTTAAAAATCTTAGAATTTAAATGGTGGCCTTTTTAAAATAAGCAAATTGACAGCCCCTTTAGATTAAATCGTAAGTGTCAGAATGTGAAGAATATTTTTGAACGCCTAAAAATATCCATAATCTAAAATATTCAAATTTGTATCTATCCTAGATACTAAAAGACTTTAAATTGACCTGTTGAGCGAGAAATACTGTACAGTGTGACCTATTTTTTGTGTGTATTATCGGATTTCTTGTTTATGAGTAAAGATGCGGTTTTTATATCATTTTGCGAATTTTTTATGACACTAAAGATGCTACACAGAGATTTGTCTTAGCCTTCTTAGTTCCTGAAATACAAGGCAAATTTGAAAATTTTGCATTTTCCGACCCCCTTCGTATCTCTGTTATAACTTAGTCAAAAAGTGAAAATTGAGTTCCGTAGAGATTTTCACATAGAATCCAGTGTAACTAGTTTTTTTTGTCAGGAGTTCTCCAACATTTTACCAATAATTTGATATTCATATAAATTTTTTCTCAAGTTATCTCAAAGTACCAAGTTTGAATCACTCTGTCCATATCCATAAAATGACCGGATTTCTCTGGATATCTGAGGATTTTTGTGAATGTCCGCGGAATTTTTTGGATTTATTTATCAAAAATGGATTTCTGGTGTACTTACCAAATTTTGCCAGCTGTTTACCCCTCGTGTGATGGTACAGAACACACAAAGATGGGAAAAGTTTTATTACTACCGAGAGATTAAAAAGTTCACTGAAGCACTATTACAACTATTATATGATCTAAATCTAGAGTCAGAAATGAAACTTTACGGGTCCGGTGAACTATCCTGACACACGATTTTTGCATTTTTCTTTTTTTTATCATAAAGTAACCATTTTTAGTAGTAGTTTTAAATAAAAATAAATGGAGATTATGCACAGAATTTTAAAATATTGTAATTTAATTTTAGTAGTTTTTGACACATATTTGACGTTATGGAGAATTTTCACACATGATTTAACATGACAGCGTGCAGCGTCAGAAGGAAAAGCAATGTTGCCACTTCCACTGAATTTTCTTTTTCTGTTTTTTATTTTATTTTGAGAAAATAGTCATTTTTAATAATAAAAATGCGTTGGTAATATGTGAATGGGAAAACTAAAAAAACAACAAAAGAATGAAACAAAAGCAATCAAAACACGCTTAAGCAACCAACCCCACCAAATAACCACCTAACCAATTCATTAACGCCCCCCAAATAACCAGGCTAACCACTGCATTAACACCCTCCAAATAACCAGGCTAACCTAATTGTGCCTAATGACAAAACTTCATTGATTACGCGTCGAAAAATAGTATATATTTAAAAAACTTATATTTTCCTAAAACCTGAAAAATCCGCAAATTTTATTTCAGAAATTGCTTTAAAATAATCCACACTAACGAATAAGCTACTAGACAGCGTTCAATTTTTGTTGCACTAAAGTGATAGCTTACCCTAATTCTTATTAAAAGAAACATTTTAAAACATATGACGTCATTTTTTTCCCTAAAAAAAAGATGCATGAATTTCCGGATAATTTACTAGCTGATCTGCCAACCATATATCAATTCGCAATATTTGTCAAAACTCGACCTTCACTACTGTCAGCGTAAACATAGAAACGGATATAAACAAGTCCGCGACTCTTTCATTATCAGTTATGGAATTTGCTATAAAAATAAAATAACAACATTTTTAAGAATGCCTTTTTTATGTGAAACGTGTTTTTTTTACATCAGATTTTAGTCAAATAATCCAAGAAATTCATTTTAAGGTAACATAAGGTTCATTTTCTAGGAAAAATCGTGTGTCAGGATAGTTCACCGAAGCCAAACTTTACTATTTCAATGCAATAAAATTTACATTGCAAATTATTAAACTCAAACTCAGTAAATAACATTTTTTTAAATATTATCTTATATCTAAAAACAAAAAATATTATATTAAAAGTGATTAGGTATATACCGATCTGTGATTAATTCATGCGCTTAAATTAAATATCAAATATATTAAAAAGAGATAAAATTTAGGTTGATATATTTCTTCTATGCGGTATTTCCGGATTTTGCATCAAAATTTCAAACTGCACAAGTATGTGTTTACGAAAAATGTTGCATCTAGGGTTGGAACGTTATTTTTCATAATTAGTTGCGCATTTTATTAGGGCTGTAATAGATTTAAAAAAAACAGAAATGAGCATTGCTGAACAGCTTAGATGTATGATCTTCTTTTATCATTGTATTTCTCGTACAAAGCGGCAACACGGTATGCCGCTTTTTATTTTGCCTTTCTGTCTGTCAACTAGCCTAAAGGGCGGGGCAAAAGCCTAACGTTCAGAACATAAAAAAAAGTTTAAAAAAAGAATTATTAGGCATTATAATACTACTCCATCTAGCTCAATTGATGGTCACATCAGATTTAAAAAGCTTACGCCAAATACCTATAACACTTTTATCTACTAACGTTTGTAGAAAAATGCCATTGTCTGGAACTAAGTATAGAATCAATCATCTCAGTAAAGAATCATTAAATTTGGACAAGAAAATTATCTTTCTTTTTAAATGTTTTGTTATTTAAGTGAACCCAAAATGATTAAAGTTGTTTTTATTTGTTTGGATGTCGATGAAAATAAAACTCAGTTTTTGTTATTTAGTGCCTTGCTCGACATTTCCACAAATACAAGTCAATACATTTGTTGAAACGTCGGCGTCGGTCGACCAAGCGGTAAATAAAAAAAGAGTTTTATTTTGACCCTTATCCAAACAAATAAAAACAAATTTAATTTTCTTTTAAATGTGCCCAATAAGTACCGGGTAGCCAACTAAGAATGGACGCCGGCTGTATCTCGGAAACTACTTATCGTATAACTTTGGGAAAAAAATCTAATAAGTAAATCAACCAAGAGAAATCGCTGGAAATTATTTTCAAGTTCGAAATATGTCCGCTAGGGAGCGTTTCTCTGATAGCCAATCAGAAAACAGGGGTTTTCTCAAAAATATGCAGGTACAGGTATTTTAAATATTACTATTGTTATCATCAAGAAATTTGTAATTTTTTTGCTAGGTATATAGTATTTTGGTCTATCTCATAAAATAAAGTGGTGGGGGAAGGTTAAACTTGCTTTTATTAAAATAAGGATAATTCTGTGTGGTTTGGGTTACCCGATTTACATAAACTAGGTCTCGTTTAAAAGAGCGTTTCTTTCTTAATGATCTCCAGTATAAATGTTGTTTCCATAATTTTTTTAGTGGTAGCTAGAGGACGCTGTTTAACATCATAACATATATTGCGCTTTGGTATAAAAAATTTAAATAGGAGGCTATATTTCTCTTTGCACAGTTAAATAGAGCACAAAATTTTCAAAATATCAGCGTAAACCGCAACTTTTTATCTTCTCTCTAACCGGAGATATTAGGAGAATAAATCATGTTAGGATGCCGCTTAGGATTACACAGGGTGTCCCAGAAATAAGTGCAAATATTTTAAGGGGTGGTAGATCTCGATAAAAGAAACATATTTTCTCTTTACCGTTTTTCAAATAAGTCCAAAATAACCGAGTTATTTTACTTTGAAAATTTCCAAAAAAAAATATTTTTTGCTAAAATTTTGAGAACCACTGGATCTTTTCTGAAATTTCTTTCTTGTAAATTTAATCTAATACCTATGTTACCATATTATCAAGAAATTATGTTTTTTAACTAAGAACTAAAAAAAAACAAAAAAATTTTGAAAAAATTTCGAATTTTAAAAATTTTTTTTTGCGAAAAAAACTTCATATGCGTGTTTCTGGGGTTAAATTATACTACCAGCTAAAATATTTGCACTTATTTCTGGGACACCCTGTATAGTCTAAAAATTATAGTAGTAGGCTAGGAAACAAAAAAAGCTAAATTGGTTACGTCAAAATATCAAAACGTTTAACTTCAGTTTCTATGCTTCCGAATTTCGGGCGTTTTCTTACAAAAAATGACGTCATAAATATTTAAACGTGTTTATGTAATGTTATCATCCATCCATATAATTTTTACGAATTTCTTGGTTAATTATACGTAGGTTTCTCAGACTCAAATGTCCGAAAGTCGGACAATCAATAATTTTATTAAAATTTCTAGGAATTTTGTGCCGCCATATTGCTTTTAACAGAAAACGGCCGAATTTCGTATGGCCAAAAACTAGGGGTTTGGCTAATTGTAACGACATATAGTTATTAATCCCAATTCGTCCTTGATTTCACTTGTTTTCTTGTTTTACCTGTTGTTTGTGTTATATTATAAAGTTTATATCGTTTGGGTCACTTTTCATATAGCACTGAAGATGCGAATCTTAACAATATGCACTACTGGTCCTAATCTACCTTTGATGCAAGTAGTTCAGCACCAAGACCGTTGGTCGGTAAATGTTTAGGCAGAAATTCTAGGATGGCAAATCATTGGACTTTTTTAATTATCTGAATGAAATGAATTATCCATAATTTCTAAGAAATGATAAAATTGCATTTGTTGCAATTTCATCAGCATGAATGGAGTGATGCAGTTGTGACGCTTATTTTGCTATGAATGTGTGAGGCTTCTTGGATACCACTTACTTTAATAGATAGAGACGCTGGAGCGGCATATTTCCATGGCCATCTAGGTCACCGGATTCAATATGCCTGGGTTTTAATTTATGGGGTTGAATCAAGAACGAACATGGATATATAATAATTAAATGGTATTAAAATGAAATTAAAATATATGTTTTGACATTTTGACGTAACGAATTTACCTCTTTTTGTATTCTAACCTACTACTATAATTTTTAGACCATATAATCCTAAGCGGCAGCCTAACATGATTTGTTCTCTTAATATCTCCGGTTAGAAAGAATATAGAAAGTTGCGGTTTGCGCTGATACTTTGGAAATGTTGTGCTCTATTTAACTATGAAAAGAGAAATATAGCCTCCTATTTAATTTTTTTGTGCAAAAACGCAATATCTGTTATGATGTCAAACAGCGCCCTCTAGCTACAACGAAAAAAATTATGGAAACAACATTTATACTGGAGATCATTAAGGAAGAAACGCTCTTTCAAACGAGCCCTAGTTTGTCTAAATCGGGTAACCCAAACCAGAGTTATCCTTATTTTAATAAAAGCAAGTTTAACCTTCCCCCACCACTTTATTTTATGAGATAGACCAAAATACTCTATATCAAAAAAAAAATACAAATTTCTTGATGATTACAGTAGTAATATTTAAAATACCTATTCACCTGCATATTTTTGAGAAAACCCCTGTTTTCTGATTGGCTATCAGAGAAACGCCCCCTAGCGGACATATTTCGAACTTGAAAATAATTTCCAGCGATTTGTCTTGGTCGATTTACTTATTAGAATTTTTTTCCTAAAGTTATACGATAAGTAGTTTCTGAGATACAGCCGGCGTCCATTCTTAGTTGGCCACCCGGTACATACAACTTCCTTATAAAGTGTAATTCAGTCCATCCTCAAATTTTCTAGTTAAATAGAATGCAAAATAGAAATTGAAAAATGCTTTAGAACTTTCTTAAATAAATAAAAATTCACACTTTTTTTAAACACTCTCCTACGTCGGGTCTTCATAAGTCTAAAACTAAAAAATTTCAGGACACAGATATCAATTTAAGTAACCGCAACAAACATTATGTATCGTAAGAAACAAAAAAAATATAGGTCAACTTAAATTATTGTTAAATGTGTCTATTAATTAGAATCTATCTTTTCTTTCACGAATCTCAATGGTAATAGAACTATTCCTTGCCTATCAGGCATCCAATATTTGTGATAATAAACACGAAAATTACCTTCCTTCTCTATAAAATAATTAAAATAGATTTTACTAATAATCAAAATTTCTCTATTTTAGCTTAGCAAGCACTGGCACAGCGGGAACGGTCTTTAAAAGATCTCCCTGGGAGGCTAATTGCTTCTATCCTGTATTTCCACCTCAGCGCATCATTTCGGGAGATTCTTGGAATGAGAATCGGTTAATCGTTGCAACCGAGGAAGGAACCTACGTAGTAGAGGGTAAGATAAAGAATAATATTTGGCAAAAATATCACAGCATGAATGTTAAATTCCTATCCCTCTCACCTTTGATCTTGACATATCAAGACCAAAGAATAACTAAATTATTAAAAAATATAATAAATTATAAAGGAAAATAAATGTCTTGCAGTTTTTAGGTATATAATAAAATTATATAAGAGTTTCTTGCCTTGAACTGCTAATATAGAAATTAATTCCACGCTGTGTTCGTCATAATGTGGATCAACCTGCTCTCACTACCGGTTTCGGGGCCCTACCTCATCATCAGGTGAGCTTGGGTATCCACATTGTGCCTCGGTGGTACGAAAGTACTACCATTGCATGCAGGCCGCTATCTCGCGATGCGAGACTTAATATCTTACCGCTACTTTACGACAAGTCGTATTTATATACTCTGCGCTGTGCTCGTCGTTTTGTGGAAATACCCAAGCTCACCTGATGATGGGGTAGGGCCCCAAAACCGGTAGTGAGAGCAGGTTGATCCACATTATGACGAACACAGCGTGGAATTAATTTCTATATTAGCAGTTCAAGGCAAGAAACTTGTTGCGGTTGGGGTCACCTTAAAATGATAGCTTGAAGGACCATAGATAATTCTTTATTTTACTTGTAAATTTAACAACAAATTTTTACTTTTAACTGAAAAAAATGTCTTTCTTGCTGAGGTTCGCAGCCATCTTCTTTTTCAAGCGTCGCAAGCGAAATCGACCCTTGTCGACCGACTACGGTAGCGCCCTCTCTTCGAAACCTCTTGAATCCCGAGGCGATTCATATTACAGAAATCATAAAATCCGAACAAAACTCTTATATAATTTTATTATATACCTAAAAGCTGCAAGAAATTTATTTTCCATTATATATTTTGGGCTAGCCGAAAAAAGCCTTTATTTACTATCGATAGTTGTGCCTCGGTGGTACGAAAGTACTACCATTGCACGCAGGCCGCTATCTCGCGATGCGGGACTTAATATCTTACCGCTACTTTACGACAAATCGTATTTATATACTCTGCGCTGTGCTCGTCGTTTTGTAGAAATACCCAAGCTCACCTGATGATGGGGTAGGGCCCCGAAACCGGTAGTGTGAGCAGGTTGATCCACATTATGACGAACACCTCGTGGAATTAATTTCTATATTAGCAGTTCAAGGCAAGAAACTCTTATATAATTTTATAAATTATAAATATATGTAACAAAGAAAATAATAAAATAAAATATATGTAACAGAGAAGGATATTATTTAGCAACTTAATAATAAATAGTCCATAGACTATTTATAGTACGAGAGCTAGCAACGTCGAAAAAAACAAGTATTTTAAGACGTCTGGCTCTTTGATATGTCTTTTACTATGCTCCCTAGAACAGCATGCGACTTGTCTGGCTGCCGGTAAACGTTGCGTTCCCTACTGCGCATTGAACGAAGATCCCATCGTCAAACAGACTGACAAACGTGAAATCGTGTCGTCCACACTATAAACTATGCCAACAGCATGGCTTTATTCCGTCTGCGTCGTATCTAAGCGCTCTGCAGTTATTTCCGGCCACTACCTCGGCACCGAGTCGGAGAACGTTGGCCAGCCAATCAGAGCGCGTTATTTCTAGTTAGTGCCGAAGTCAATGATGGCATCGAAACATGCTGCCGGTAAACGTTGCGTTTCCTACTGCGCATTGAAAGAAGATCCGATATTTTTATTAGTCCTTTAAATTCTAATATTGAATATAAACCGACCGAGTCTCCATAGCTTAGCGCGTAGAAGTTTCGCCTATCAAGCAAGGAGTCAGAGCAAAAACTTCTTTATTTTATTTTCGTTTATATTCTGATAGTAAAGTATTAAATATTTGTTTTTTTTTGAATCACCAGAATTATTTAATACTTTACTATCAGAATATAAACGAAAATAAAATAGAAAAGTCTTTGCCCTGACCCGGATTCGAACTCTGAATCTTCGGTTCGTAGTCGGAAACTCTACGCACTGCGCTATGGAGACATGTTCGATTTGTATTCAATACTAGAATTTGTAGGACTAAATTAAAAAAAATATAGGATCTTCCGATGCGTAGTAGTGAATTCAACGGGTATCGGCAGCCAGACCGGCAGCATACTGTTCCAGAGAGCATAGTAAAAGATATATCGAAGAGCCAAACGTCTTAAAATACTTTCTCGAAAACGTTGCTAGCTCTTAGACTATTATATTAAGTTGCTAAATAATATTTTTTTAAACTGTATAATACAATAAATTTCCCTGTTTGTTAATATAAATTTTTTAAATATTATTTATTTATTTAACGGTTACGAGTAGTAACATTCTCTCACTTCATTTTCGTTGTACTCTCTTTTAAATATGTCGTACAAAACTGTTTTTTCATTGAGTTTATCCATTTTTTATATATTTTATTTGATAGTTAATAATAAGTTTTTTAAATTATGATTTTAGTGTTCTGTAACTATTAATTTAACCAATCAAATAACAGAGATATAGCATTATATCTGTGGTGTATAAAAATGTATGAAATTCCATTGTCTTTAGTTCATATTTTATACAAGAATATAGAATGTCACAAGAATTTACATGGCATATAAAAGAAAACGTTCTTGTGACAAACAACTTTAATACCTTAGAGTGTACGGCGCACAGATAAATTGTAATCGGATCTGTAGTATTCAAAATTATATACAAATTTTGTAAAGGTGGTTAATTGTTCTCGGTCTCAAATTTGGTCTCCTTTCTGAAAATTTTATTTTAAACTTTTATAAAAAATATGGCATGCAGTAGAATAGCAAAATTTAAAAAATATTTTCAGATATGCGGTACAGATGGTTGAAATATATATTTTACCCTAAAGTTACCCTAGTTTTTAGGGTTCCGAACCCAAAGGGTAAAAACGGGAACCCTATTACTAAGTCTTCGCTGTCCATCCGTCCGTCTGTCACAAAGGTCTATCTTATGAACCCTTATAGCTAGACAGTTGAAATTTTCACAGATAATGTATCTACGTTGCCGCTATCAGAACAAATACTAAAAACAAAATTAAATAAATATTTATAAATAAAAAAATACTTTCACTCAACATTATCTTTTAAGTAAGAATTTTACATAGAATCTTTCAAGTCCTCGGTGGCCGCGTGGTTAAAGCGTTAGGAGTTACGCTGCTATGTCGTTGGAGCCGTAGTAAGGCAGGTTCGAATCCTAGTCAAGGCGACTTTTTTTAATAGTTTTTTTTTAATTTTTACATATTTTTACATATTTATTTTTACTTTTTACATATTTATTATTGATTAATACAATTTTTAGTAATGCGTTTCTTCATTTTTTTTAATTACTTATACGCGCATTCAAAATTTCACCTAAATCGGAAAAAAAGTTTATAATAATATAGTGTCTAACGTTGTATAGATAATGAATGGTACGGAACCCTTCGTGCGCGAGTCCGACTCGCACTTGACTAATTTTTATTTTATGTGTGTCATTTATTCTTTCTGGAAAACATATTAAGGTCATTTTACTAATTTTACAAGATAGCACTGGACGGCTGGTGGTTACATGGCCTCATATGGTTCTTTTCCTGTATTCTATATTATTTGTACTAAGCATATATCACAAGCTTTAACAACTTATTAGCCTGCAGAATTTACATATTTTGTAGGAACCAGTTAGACCTATAATATTAAAAATCCTAAAATTAAGAAATTTGCGCATATCAAGTTTTTCCTCTGGACCCTTCATTTTCAATCCAGAAATACTATGTCATTATCTTCACCGAAAAGTTTTTGAAATTTGATCATTCTTGGACTAAATTTTCTACATATTTGCTTACCTCACAAGATATCAAATTACTTATTTTCTAATTTATGTTTTATGCCTTAATGACAATCACTAACTAGTAAAGAATGGGCATGTTCCAAAAAATATAAATTCGCAAATAAACCATTGTATTGCTTAGATTAAGTCTTCATTACTTACAATACATAGAAAATTAGGAAAAATTCCATGATATAATTTTAGAAATTAAATTATAATTTCAAACTTGAACATTCTCGGTTGAGTTGTGATGTAGATAGCCTTTTCACCAATCACGTTTCAGATCGTAGAAAGGGAAGTTTCATATCATATGTTGGTATGACTGATTGCCTGGCTCATGCGTATCGGGCGCAGCCATTTTGGATTATGTTATTATTTTTCTACGTGCTTTTCAGTTCAGCGGTAAATTTTCTTGGTTACAACTTTTAATTTTATCTAAATGGCTCAAAACTATGAAAAAACTTTTTCGGATCATTTTCGAATGGTGACGGAGTATATGGTGGACAGTTTTTATATAGACAATTTAAAATACTTAAGTGCTGATATAAAGAAGTTAAAATATCAAGGTGAGATTTTTTTTTCTTGGAGAAGTTATTTAAAAGTAATAAAACCATTGTTTATAGAGCATAGAGTGAATCATAATGATAACGTTCTATTGGATACGTTCAATGAAAAGAGGGCTTCTGCACAATCAAACAAAAAGTACACCTGAACATCATGTGACTGCAATGGTAAAAGTGTACAGAAAGTGGAGGGAACTAAATTTTTAAGCTGTGCAGCTAACACTGGTGATTTTTAAATTATAACAAAATATGTAGGTTTTGATTTATCTATTTATATTTTAATTTTGGGCGGCATGTAAACATTATGTCATGCATAACAAATAAAATCAAGAAAGGTACCACGGCTATGATTTATGTAGAATGAGGCAAGGTAACATCTTACTTTCTAGCAACTTTTATTGCCATTCTTGTCTTCTCATAATATTTATATTTTATGTTCTTGTAGCGGATTAATTGTAAATTGACTGCCCTGATATTCAGTAAGTCTTATCACCATCAAAATGTAAATTATTACAATATTGTAATTAAAACACTTTATATTTACTTGCCTTTTAATTTAATAAATTTAAAAAATAATCATGTATATGTATATGTAATACACAATGTATGTTTCCTTC